GGTATCATGTCGCGGTGTTGAAATCTTTGGAACCCATTCAGTATTTCGATCGTAGGAGCAAGTCTCGGTTTTCACAGCAAAATCCCAACAAAAGTATTTGGTGGCGTTGAAATGACCGGTGCTAAAGCGTTCGCCGTTTTTGAGTTTAAAGTGTTTAAAATCTGACAAAAAAAAAGTAAAACTGGGAAGACTGTCTCACGCTCGCTCTGGGATTTTGACAAGTATACGTGTAGTGGTAGGTGTTCCTTTTTTTTATTAGATGCTAACAGAAATGTAATAACTAAAAAAAAATAATGAATAGTAATGAAACCTATAGACTGCGAGGAAATCACCAAATCCTAATTGCTAGACGATCATGAGCAGTTTATGTTTTTGGTAAATTTCCTTTGTAGACCACGACTTGTTTCTTGAATCCTGGAACTTTTTATCCCAAGACCCTTAAACCCAGCTGCAGTAAGTCAAGGGAAACGAAATCTTTGACGCACTTTAAAAATACACCTTCAGCTAAACAGTTTTTATAAAAAGCTTATGGTCTCGTTAAAGTGTAGCTTTATCCAAACCCTGAAAAAATGGCCAGTTAACCACCATAAGGCTCACAACAGTAAGTTGCCGTGCGATTCCATCTCCATGCTTGTACAATTAAATCTTCACGAAAAACATTTACAAACATTATCTAGCATATAGTAATTTATTATGCCACTGATTCATTTTTTGCCGTTCCACGTCAAAGCCATAATCCTCAAATGATTTTGAAGAGATTCGAACATTGAACCTATGTTCAGAGCTATGCTATAGCGCCCCCTAATGATGATTACTCTGTATTTTATAGGTTTTATAGGTTTATAGCTTCTGCCGGCATATCCGACATTTCATCAAAAGAATAAGTAGCAGCGTCCTTGTCTCATTAAAAAGTTTTTATAGAAGAGCTTATCAGTAGAAAGTACTGATCAGCTTTCCAAAAGAAAATGACAGCATCCCTTGGGTAACTCCACTTCACCACTTCACTTTAGCATGTTTTTCGAACGTGGTGGTAAAGCGGAGTAACCAGAGGAAACCCCACGACGACGCGGAGAGGAAATGAAAACTCCGCCCTGGTCCCAGAGGTGTGAGGCAAAGTGTTGCATCCCTGCGCCGCCATTCCACTCCAGTGACATAAGCAAAAATAAAAAAGGCAGGAATAAAAACAACAGAAAACTACAGGACTACATGCCTAAGGAAGCTTGATGAATGTTCTATGTTAAAAGATAGAACTTACGAACGATGTAGTGTTAAGAAAGCCCAGATAATTAAAAATAACGGTATAGGTAATAGAAACTGTTGTTTTCTTGTTAATGTTTTTAGATGGATATTTATATTTGTAATTGTCCTAATTTTCAGTGTATATGTTTCTTTAATCTTCATTGTGGCCCTTTTAATGAGTAACATTACTCTGTGACCGGAACAATAAATCTGATAATGAGTTACCCAGACACAACTAATTATTGCTCAAATAAAATACTTTTTAAACTAATAGTCAGTGATTTTCCACTACACTGCCTTTTGGGGGCATGTAACACATTACCACATCGGGGTTAATTATCCCCCGAGACCCTGACCAGGATTAATGCCTGGAATATGGATGGATGGTTTAATTTTCGAATATGGCAGGCTTCGCTGCGAACTGCGTGTGTCAGCCACATTAATCGTGATTAATCGTGTGACAGCCCACTTCACTTACAATGTTGTTTATGCGTGTGTGTGCGCGCGCGCGCGTTTTTTTTTTTTTTTGGTCACTAAAGCATTCTTGACACCTTCTCCCTTTCCACATATCACTTAGCTGTTCTGTCCCAGCACTGCAGAGGGTGTGAGTACTTCAAGGACCAGCCAAGTCCATTTTGTCTCAGCCCATGAAACTGGCTGCCATAAGCGTCCTTCAGAAGTTGGCGCTCTAGACAGCCACTTGTGTCCTCTACAGGATTGACAAGCCCTGTTCAAGAATATAATGTTTCAAAAGATCATACTAGACAATTCTGAGTACTGTGCCTAGTAAACAAAACACTAAGTAACAAAGCCCATTTACGCTAATGCTAGGGGTGTAGGATTAATAGCAATTTCCACATCAGAACAGCTCCGCAGCTCTGACACCACATTGCTTTTTTGCATTTGCATCCATCTTTTCCTGAGGGGGTTCAGTCTTGAAACGGCAGCTGGCAGGAGGAAGTGACGTCACATGCACCCGTCAAGGCAGGTAGCGGCAGCTGCCACTAAGGAGCTTGGCAGCTGCCAGTTCTTAGTGGCAGCTGCCACTTCTGTCCGTCGCTAGTGGCGCTTAACAGTGGCGGGTCCCGTTCGAATACAGTGCCTGCCGGGGTACAGAGACAGCCACCGCCGCTCGTGGAAGTAAACCCGAGATGCTGTGCACGGCATACGATAAACTGGAATAGGGAAATAAATTGAGGACTTGTTTAATCTTTGTATGACTACGAATGATATTATTGTTGCTGACTACATCTCTTTAAGATAATATTTGAGAAAACAATGATTGTACTGCCGCTAGTGGCGCTAAACAGTGACAGGAGCCGTTCGGGAACAGTGCCTGCCAGTAGTGGCAGGTCTCGTGGCAGGTGCCGTTCAGATACAGCAGAGAGGCAACTACCCGAGTTCGGTAAAGTTGGAAAGATATTGGCAGATTCGAACTTCGCGGCTCAATAAATCTTAAACAAAACGTTCTAACAACACAATATACGTGTCTATTTAACAGTGGTAAGATAGACAATGAGCTACAACCGGATTTTCGTCCAAACGATATGTATTCAAAGAAATATGGGTAACATTGCGCCCTGTGAGCAGTCCGCTGTCAGAGGAGAGCTTAGGGACCGTCTGCAAAGTGCAAAACGAAAACGGATAATGTCAATAACTTCACTTCCAAAGAGTGAAGAGCCACCAAAATCACTAAAGGCTTTTGGAATGTTATCATGGTCATACTACACCCCTTAGTTTGGTGAAATATACCTTAGTCTATTTTTAAAGATTTTTTATTAGGAATAACATTCAATAACTTTGCTCCTATCAACTGTACTACCACCAAAATCACTACACACTTCTACAGTCTCATTATGGTCATACTACACCATTTAGTTTGGGGAAAAAACCATTATTATTAAATAAAATGCAATAACTTTGCTTCTATAAATTGTAGTGCACCAAAATTACTATATACATACTGTAGGCAATCTTATTATGGTAGGACTGCATCACTTAGGTTGGGAAAATGTGGCTTAGTCTATTGTTAGAGGGATTTTAGTGGCAATACTACAAGACTTAGTTTGGGGAAATGTACCTGTGTCTATTTTTAAAGAATTTTTATTGGCAATAAAATTCAATAACTTTCGTACTATACACTGTAGTTCCACCAAAATCACTACACACATCTACAGTATCATTACGGTCATACTACAGCACTTAGTTTGGGGAAATGTGCCTGTGTCTATTTTTAAACAATTTTTATTGCCAATAAAATTCAATAACTTTCTTACTATAAACTGTAGTTCCATCAAAATCACTACACACATCTACAGTATCATTATGGTCATACTACAAGACTTAGTTTGGGGAAATGTGCCTGTGTCTATTTTTAAACAATTTTTATTGCCAATAAAATTCAATAACTTTCGTACTATAAACTGTAGTTCCATCAAAATCAGTACACACATCTACAGTATCATTATGGTCATACTACAATACTTAGTTTGAGGAAATGTGCCTGTGTCTATTTTTAAACAATTTTTATTGCCAATAAAATTCAATAACTTTCATAATATACACTGTAGTTCCACCAAAATCACTACACAACTCTATTGTCTCATCATGGTCATAGTACAATACTTAGTTTGGGGAAATGTGCCTGTGTCTATTTTTAATGATTTTTTTTACATTTTTTATTAGGAATAACTTTCAATAACTTTGTGACAGTTAAGTGTAGTGTCACCAAAATCACTACACAACTCTACAGTCTCATCATGGTCATTTTACAGGACTTAGT